CTGGGGAGTTGGAACAAGATGTTCTTTAATGTCCTTTACAACCCAAACCATTCTATAACTACAGAGTATGATTCTGGGAAGGAAAGAACAGCTTGTTTTCTGAGAAACAGGCACACAAATGGCACATTTCAGTTATGAGACTTTGTTGTGTTAAACATAGCTCAATTGCTGTGCTGCTGTATTACAAACAACCAGAAAGGGATAACTCTTAGCACATATGTTCCTTGCAACAAAATTGTAATTTTGAACAGTGTCTGAGGAGCAGCATCATTCTCTTTTGGGGGTAAGAATCCAACCTCAAATTAGTTAAATATGGGAACAAATATTTATCAGAATCTTTGCTTAGTAGTGGAAACATATGAGATGAAAAGCCATAAGGAATTAGTTACTGAGGTAGCCCTGGATTTCCTGTATGGAAAAGCAGTGCAGCAGCAAGTGCTTGTGTCCTTGACAGCCCAGGATTTCCGGTGGAGTTCCCAAGAGTGGCTACTCTTCTGTCCTTCTCATGAGACACAAAACTGCTAATATTTGCCTAGCAAAGTACTTCTGAGTAGCTTAGGAGGCCTGGTTGATGTAGTCTCCTGTGGGCACTTCCATTCCAGAAATACTTTCTGCAATAGACGTTAGCATTAAAAATCCTGTGTGGATTTTAGCTAGGGAATTCAACCAGTGCCCTTTTTTCAATTCATGGCCATGCCCTATCTACAAAATGTTAGATATCAACGGCCTGAGCATTAAGCTTGTATAATTTTGTGTTAAGATAAAATTATATTGCCAATAGTTACAGTTTTTCTTCTCATGAAAGAGCTGTTGACACCAACGGCTGTGCAAATTAGAAGTGACAGTCATAACAACTGTTCCATATTCGACTATCACAAAGCATGCAGATAAAATATTGGGTTGATCTGGCCAACAATGCCACCTGAAGCGTGCCTGTATCACTTATGTATGATTTTTACCTCTCCAGTGTGACTGCACCATGTCTGTCCTGAGCTTCAGTGCACATATTGACAATTCCAGAATTATAACAAATTGTGAACTTACAACAAATTCTCTTCCTCATTTGTTTTGATCGCTGCACACTGACATAAAGTCAAAATTAATTAAAAAAACCTTTGAAAGCCTTTGGGTGATCTGTAATCAGTTAAGACTCCATCTAGATAACCAGTATTGTGATCAAACAGGAAAGAGACTCTAGTTTTGACATCCAAATCAAAAGGACAAACTTAGGAAGGGAAGTCTGCTGGCTGTTTGTTTTAATGTCTGGGTTACAGTACTGCACACCAGTATTTCTGGGGAGCACTCTCCCTTTTGGGTAAAGTATTGTGTCTTGAATGAGAATAGCATTAATACATGAGCTATTGGCTTGGCCTTTCATGATCTTAGTTTTAGGTGGGCAACGTCTCTTGGAAACACCATAGCTCTTCCTTGCTAGAGCCTTTTAGTCAAGTAAACTTTAAAACAAGAAATATGGTTCATGGCAATTCAAATCATATGAATTCTTGTCTACATTTATGTGAGCATTCGTTATAAATTTTCCCTCAATTTTTATGTAAAATGATAACAAAGGAGAATTTTATTTAAAATCCTGCTTCTAAATTCATTTACCCTAAAGAAATTACAAAACCCACCTGTAAATCCGGAAAATTAAAATCCCATAGGGCAGCTAGCTCTATGGAAAGAGAATATTTTGTTTTAAGTAAGAATAATGGTAAGAACTAGCAAAATATTGCAATAACACTGCATGCTCTAGGCTCCACCTTATTATTATTATTCTAACATTATCACTATGCAACATTTAATGTTCATTAGTAAGAATATTTATTCTAGAGTCAGGCATATTGGTATTATAATAAGAACTCAATTTCATACATCCCAGAACAATAATTAGATTTGTGAAAAAACAAACTATGTAGACAATGGCCAATAGATCAAAAGCATTTATTGCACAGAGTTATCTTTTACGGCTATTCAGATATTAACTTGAACAAGCTTCACACACTAAAATTAACTCAGCATGTTGTCAGAGAATAAGGGACATATGTTGGTAAGTCCCACTGGTGATCACCTCATTTGTCCCCATTTGTTATGAAATACATGGTTGTGAATCTGCAGTAAAATCCTTTACTGCACTGAGTGATCACATAGTTTTGATTGTATCACAGAGAACAGGTGAGATGCAGAACATGTTCTGTAAGGATGGTTTCCAAACAATCTTAGTATTTCTACATTCAGTGAGTTTTGTGTATGTTTATGAAGATATATATATATAAAACACCTGGAATTCAGATCATAACAATTTTTTTCCCTCATGTTAGCTCATATCTATACTTCCATTTACAAATACAGGTTGACAATATTGTTATCATGTTCCCAAAAAACTGGAAACATCAGTGCTTTTAAGAAACACTCATGTTCTATTCCCAGCCGTGAATTACCCTTACAAAATATATCAAAAACCTGTCTAAATACATTTGGAAAGATACAAATGAAGTGCTTCTATTGCAATATTGATGTAGCTTGCCAAATCTGGACACAGTATCTACAATAAAATTCATCATCTATTTACACAATAGTTTTTTTCCAAGACTTGCACACAGCTGGTTTCAATAACATATTAATGATTCCTATAATGCTTTTTTAATATGTTTTTCAATGCTAAAACTCCTGGTAAACATTTCAGACCAGAGATTCTTTGCCAGCTCTCTGTTTTGAAGAGCCTTTCAGGTATGGGCTTTTACTGTTACTCACGGTTGTTGCCTACATCACAGTTTTTATGTGTGACTGGATAACGAGCACACACCGAGTGAACCCAACCCTGACCTACATAGCAGGGAGCCATATGAGGGCAGGAATGCACTGCTTTGCACGTGGACAGAGCCATTCCTCGAAATTCCCAGAAAACAAGCTATTTGTTCAGAAGCTTGTCATAGAACTGAACAAAAGGGATGTGAGGATGAATGAGTCAGAGACAACGTTCTGCATTTTGGATCTGTTTTACCGGTCACAGACTGGTGTATGATGCAGTAGCCTGGCTATTCCTCCAGGAAAGGAAAACCCATTGCCTCTGAGACATGGATTAGGATAGGAAATTCATAAGCAAAGAAGATTGCATACTGGCAATATGGAAGAAATAAAAATAGTTTAAAAACAAGCTGAGTGATATGAGTGAAAATGTTCTCAGGAACAGGAAGAGAACAGGAAGGGAAGGAAGCAACGCAATGTGCAGAATTAAAATAATCCCAGAGTAACAGGTAGATGGGTGTTTTAATGTCCCAGGATAGAGGCAGCTTCACTCTATAAGAAAGAATGTCTCCAATTTGGGGAATTTGATCTGACTACCACTCAGCAGGTTCAAACAAAACCTCGTGTCCAGAAAGGGAAAAAAAGGGGACAGTTTTCTAGGTGGAGGGGGCTGTTTGTTAGAGCTGAAGGAAAACAAAGAACTGTTCTTGCTATCACTAGCTGGGCAAAACTGCCTCCTTCTTCTGTTGTTGGTCAGGAAATAAACCCAAGCAATATTACACAAAACACACCATGGCACCCACTCTCCTGGCTGGGTGGAGACAACAAAGGTCTCTGTTAGTATGGCCCCAAAGCGGAAAAAGACAGGACTACAACCAATTTTTTTTTTTTTTTCCCAAAAAAATTAAGTGGTACCACCTCACTGTGGTTTCCATGGTAAGACAGCACAAAGAAAAGCAGACAATAAAATCATTCCAGATGTCTGTTATGAACAGACAGAGAAGTAATCCACCTTAAACAGAGACTAACATTAAGCCCAATTCAGAGAAGGATGTATGGATTTAAACTCTGAACTAAGAAAGGGGAACTGAGTTTCATTTTTGCATCCCAAAAGGATAGGTACAGATAAAATATAGATGCTTTTGGCACCAGTTTCTAAGAGCACACTGTGCTATTATAACTTCAACAAAAAGTTTAATTCGTCCTGAAATTAAATTTTACAGGTTATTATTTTAACAAGAAAATTTGATTATTTTGGAAGGTTAATCTAAAAGATTCCTTTCTCTTCAATCCAAGCTTAAAATGAAAATTTAATTACAGTGATAAATACTCTCCAATATACATTTTTGTTTAGCTATATTGCTTTACTTTTGATCCATCAGCTGTAAGAATAGACTAATATAACCAGAATTTTTGAAAAGTGTTTTATCTGAAGGATCTCTACCTAGTATAGACTTTAATATATTATTTCAGTATTTTATGCTTTATAAGAATGCTTACTCCACTTAAAAAGATACAGTATAGGACTGACTTCATTAAGTGTTGTGTTTTTTTTTTTTTTTTAAAGAATTCATGTGTCAAATATTTTATTAACTGGAATGTATCTCACTCCTGTTTCCAGATCCTTAAAAAGGTTTTCCACCATCTCAGGTTCACTGTTTCCAGAATACAACAGCACATTAGGAAAATGTAAAACTCTCCTGTCTTATAAACAGAGCTGTTTCCCTTTTAAAAACCTCTAAAATCTTTCTCTCCTAAATTCTTTCCTGAGGCACTCTCAATAAAATCACCCTTTACCTCAAGTGAGGGTGATAAAACACACCTGCCACAAGCAGTGATAAGGAACCATGGAGCTTGATATGGAAGCCTCACACCCAGTAAGAACATGAGTGGATAAAATTATCCATCACAATCTGAAGGTCAAGTTATCAGAAACATCTGTTTACTAGAGATGCTGGAACATATGACTTAAAATATTAAGTGCTTTAATAAAGTCTTCAAAACTAGTTTCTCTGTCCCCTGTGAACTGTGAGGAGCAACAACTGCAGATAACACAATGACAATAAAAGTGAAAAACATAAAACTCTGGTGAGAGAGCACCTTGGGAAAATGTATGTAGTACCAACTACCACTTACAAGTATTCATAACTAACAAACAAATAGAGGAAACAATGCCAGACATTTATCTCAGCAGTGCAACTTCGGTTTTAAAGAAGTTTTTTATCACAAGAAAACAGGTAATGAGTCATTAATACCTGATATACCTTCATGATATTGACAGTTCCTTCTCCATGTTGGCCTGTGGATCCTTGGCTCTGTAGCAGATTTCTCACTGTCTCCTCCATTCTAGAGAAGAAAAATATTTATAAAAGTCAACTGTATGGAAAAAATTTACGAGTTGCATTCAGCGTTTTTGTTCTTTACAAGAGCCTAATGCATCCATGGCTACCATGAAATTAATATTTAAAGACAATCCTAGCCTTGTAATGTTCTCATGCTCCACGTTATGAATAACACATTAAGGGCACTCTTTCATCTTTTGAATATGCACAGTAATTAGTTGTTTTGTTAAAATCCTACAGGAGCTCAGTTACAAAACCTAAAACCAAATGTGTGCAAAAGACATCACCTTGTCAACAGTGCAACCATGATAAAATTAGTATCATTTAGGAACAATCAGTCAAGATTAAAAAACACACAACCTGCTGTATTACGAGCCAATAGTCAGGTTGGTGCAATTCAGACAGACTGTCTATTACATTACAAGTATTCACTTGCTGTGTTATAGGTGTAGCAGAGTGTGCCAGTACATTGGTTTATGGGGGCACAGATGCTGAACACATTCACCCTTCTCTGCCCTTTCAAAGGGACGTAAAAAGCAAGTGCAGGCTACAATCTGGTACCACCATCTCATGAAAATGTAATCAGCCTCAGCTCCATCAGTGAAGGGAGGAAGGCTTGCACTTCCATTTTAGAAGGTGTTAATAGACAACATCAAAAGTTGTCTTTGATCTGCACACATTCATCAAGCATGTTAGGACTGATAATAACACTAACCCTGCTGAACAGAGGCTGCTCAGAATAAAGAGTTCTGCTCCTTCTCACAATAGGAATGCTGGAAATAACGGCAGCCACCTATAAAACACCGGTTCCATTCAAGGTTGATGAGAAATTAAATCCCATGGGCTTAGGAGATGTCACTGAGGTGGACCACAAATAAAGGGTCTGGGACTATAGCTGGTTTCAGCTCTGTGAGAATGGGTAAGAGGAGGAAAAGAATCAAAAGCCAAAAAAGCAATGGAAAGATCGGAAATTTCCAAGCAATTGGAAAAATGCTGAGTGCCAATTCCAGCCAAAGGTCCTCATGCATCTTCCCATGTCCTACACAGGTTCTCAGCCCTGTAGAGCTTCTTCTTCATCTGTGAAGATGCAAGTTTTCCTCACTCCCCCTTTCATATTTTCTGCTCTTTTCCTTTTAAGCACTCTCAGACCCTTGACAGAGTTGGAAAAACAGCCCAGCTGGAACAGGGGCTGGAGAAGGGAAAACTGCTGTGGCACAGGCATATGGGTGACATGAAAGCAGAAGAGAGAAAGGAATACCTTGAGTCATGTTGCTGATACCCTGTATATTAAAACAGTGACCTTGAAGAAAGAGCCAGTATTCCTAAACATGTCAGACCAGAAACTGCCTGCTGTTGTTTATGTTTACTGTGTTTAGGGAAACATGACTTTTGAGTAGTATCCTTTCCAAATGCAATCGAGCAGAAGAATTATTCAGAGTGTATCTTTTTTTTTATTTGTTTATTTCTAAGGTAACAGTCCAGTAAGACAGCAAATATTAGCTAACTGCTCTGGCCAAAGGCCAATATTTATAGGATCCTTATTGTCTTTCTGTCCTTTCAGTCTTATCAGAACGAATTGGCATTGGTTAATTTAGCAACAGTATGATGTTATTCCAGGTTTTCTCCTTTCAAGTCAGCCCACTGTGCTACTGTTCAAGAAGCCAACATTGGGTGTTCATTCTACTCAGATGAACACTGACACTCTACTTATTTGTATGATGTTTTTTTGTCATTGATGTGCAGACTTTTACACTGCCAGAATGCCCACAGAATAGTTGGACCATCTGTTGACCAAATGTGCATAAAAACAAGCCAGCTCTAATCTCTAGTGCAGACAGTGGTGCAATTTTTCAGTTGCAGATTGGAACCATTTCTGCTCATAGGCTGACCTTAATCAGATGCCTTTTACATGAAAAAACTTATCCTTTTGGTTTTCATAACATAAATTCCTGTGCAGTCCTCACTGAAAAACTTAATTTCTTAACATGCTCATCATTTCATTTTTAAATTAATGGTGTAATAGGATTCTTTATTATTCTGTGTATCTATGCATATGCAGCTCCAACTCTAGTCCCTCACAACGTTCTTCCAAATTAATAAACAAGTAAAAATGGAAAAAAAGAATAGATTCAAATAGCACTAAGTCATGGGTTTTCAATGTAGACCTAAAATATCAATGAAAATAAAGTCTGCCTGCATATTACTATGTTCACTTAAACCAGCTCAGTAAAATTATGAAGAATTCTTATATTCAGTGGGTCCTTTAATCTTCAGTTAAACTCAGATGATCTATTTTCGACCACAGGCCTGTCTTACTGAACAGCCTTACAGGAGTCTGACAAGCACAAGGTTTCTTGGGGGAAACACAAACTCCTCCCACTGGCACTCAAATTTTTAAGCAATAGATTAATCTTTGCAACACGACAAAGAGCTCAGTTAAACACGTTTGAGACTTCTGTTGTTTTGTTGTTTGCAGCTGTTATAAAAGTTTCTAGGAGTTGAGAGCTATGAAGTTGAACCACGGGCATATCAAGAGACAGTGTCCGTGTGGCCATGTCACTATGGAACCAGCAGTGGGAGGACCTTACAAGGCTTTGGGTACTCATGGAATATATGAAAAAAGTTGGAGAAAACTACTTGCTACCAAAGAAAGTGGGAAGTGAAATATGCTTAAAGTCAAATTTACTGCAAAGCTCTGGTGGCCAATGTTGCTCTGGTGGCAGTGGCAGAAGCTGCTGCTTCTCCACTAGCATTTTTAGGAAAGACTGACTAACCAAACACGGTACAGGAGGATAATCAAGACTTGTTTCTTATCAGTGAGAATCTTTAAAGCATGGCACAGTAATTGAAAAGTGATTGCTTTCTTATGTTCTAAAATACTCTCCACAGTGACAGTACATGCCAGGATGATTTAGTATAAACTCTATTTAAAGAATGCAAAAATAGTTGAGCCTCTATCAATTTAGCTTGAGATCCCATGTTTTGCTCCATGAACACAGCTTCTGAAGGACAGCAAATTTTGGAAGTGAAACAGAAAAATTATGAGCTTTACAAAGGGCTATTTTTGTGCATCAATCTATATTTTTCCTTCTGGTAATCACAAAAGGTTATCTCCTCTAGGTTGTGATTCTGATATCCCAGCTGGACCCACTCCAACATCAAGCACTTCCCAATTACATCTAGGATAGTTATCCCCACGCGTGCATTCTGCCTGTTAGCTGGACTATGCTAAAAACACTGTTTTGCCAGGGATTCTCTCTATCTTATGTAACTATCAAGCTGTTAAAATCTGCAAAACCAGTTTCTAAAGCTCATCACTTCTGAGTCTACATTCTTCAAGCACTATTTAAGAACAGTTATTTTCCCCTTTCTTCAGTATTCTATCTACTGTCTTTTCATGCGAAGCATCTCTTTTAGTACCACCAAATTTTCTGTTGAATAGAATATTGATGTTTTCTTTAAACTGAAGTGTTCCTTTCAACTTCTGTTTTTAAAAAAATCTAGGGGCGTTTTCTACAGGAAAAATAAATGAAATATGTTTGATACAAGCTTAAGTTTTGTGGCAAAACTCAGTTTATAGGAGAGAAACAGTCCTCTACCACGGCTAACCTAAGGATAAATTTCTCAAAGCACAAAAAGAAAAGAAATGAGGCATTGAGAAAACAGAATCTGTTCATGAAACAGAAGAGTTTAAGGAACATAAAATATTAAATGCTGCTGTGTAAAGCACCATCAAGCTTCCATTTGGAAGATTATCTGCAATTACAATCATCAGTGTTCAGGAGCACCTCATCCAGAGCTGATTCCATGAAGGGACTCCTCTGAAGCTGTTTAGAAGAAATGACAGCCTGTGCCATGAGAAGAGACTGAACAATTTATCTTGCTCAACTTCAGAGACCAAGGACTTTAAGACCATGTATTACTTACACAAAAGAACCAGTGAGAAAAATGTGAAAGAAAACTACATCAACCTAAGCCCAATGATTGACAAAAGAGTTTGGGATATAGTGCTTAGAAATACATTTGGGCTGGAATAAGAATGTCTTTAATAATTGTAAAAATGAAATTCTGAACCATTCTGCTATACAGAGCAACAGAATGAGAAATCCAAACAGTTTTAAGCCAGAGTTGAGTCATTTATGAAATTATTTACACATCAGAGTCAAGAGCTGAGGATTTGAATTTATGATCTTCAGGTACTTGCTGCTATTCCTCATAAAAAAAAAATCGGTCATTCCTACACTTAAAATATGTAATTTGCCCTGTGCTGTTGAGAGAATACCAGGAAATCAATTCATTTGCTACGGACAGTTATTTATTTTGGTTTTGTTTCTGAGTGTGTTTCTGTTCAAGGGGGCAAAAAGAACCTACGAAAAGGGGGAAACGTCATTCCCAGGGAGCAGCCCACAGTGCACAGATGCTCATATGTTCAAGATGGTAGAAGGAAGCTTCCTCTGCATTTTTGCTGGAGTCTTGCTTTTAATGCTTCTTATCATCTTTATGACAGCTCTGCTGCCTCCATCTCCTGCCTGGCCCTGCTGGTGCAACTCAAAAGTGCCAGAGCACAGTTTCAGCCAGTGCAGGCTGGGCAGACCCTGACAGGGTTGATGCATCATTGCTGGACAATTAAGCTCCTGAATTTCCTCTCAGTTTTCTCAGGACCATAATTTTGCAAAACATCCTTTGTGCCATCCCGCAGCAATGACGTGGTCAGAGAACCTGCTCATTTTGTGTCTCTCCCAGTTCTGTCATAAATAAATGCTCTCTATAGCCTGTGCTCTGTTCAGCCATGTCCCACACAGCCCTTTTTACAGTTCACCCTCCAAGGGACAGGCAGCATGTAGAAGGTGCACAACAGTTTCAACCTCTTCTCCCTTGACCTACTTCCTTCAAGATTTCCACAGGCTGACAGCTACCTTTTGCTAGGTGCTATCACCTTCCCTTTTCATCACCCGGAAGCTGATGTGACAGTACTTGGTTGGTAATTTCAAATGTATGTCACAA